CGAGGCGGAGGGGAGGCCGCCCCCAGGCCGTACGGACTCTGGCTCCTGGGAACCCCGCCATGCACAGGCCTCGGCGGAGGGGCTCGCAAGGGACAGCGCCCGCCTGGACCCTTGGCACTTAATAAAGAAGTACAGTTTGATGAGCATGGTGGTGGACCAGCCTAGTTCTCTGAGCCGGCAGGCACACGCAGCCAGCGTCACCTCCACCCCCGGTTTGTACACAGGCCCCTGCGGCCCAGAGTGGCTGGGCCCCTGCCGGAGTCACACCGCAGGTGGTGCTAAGAGCTAGACCGACCCTCAGGTTGGAGACCACACCACACACTGAACCACTGTGGGGCCAGCCGCTCTGGGCCCACTCCACCCCACCCCTGTCCATAAACCCCTAGGGAGGGCAGCCTCCGCACTGCTGACCCTCTCCGCGGTCTACTTGGCCACCAGACACAGAAGGGAAGGGCACTGTCCGGGCTGACCATCCCCCAACCCTGCATGGTCCTCGGGGTCCGATGTCCCCCATCCAGTCACAGACCACCAGAGATGGCAGGGGTGGGGGCACCCTGGGGAGGATGAAGCCCTGTGGTCGCCAACGGAGGGGAAGAATGGGCGAGTAGGTGGACAGGAGAGGAAAACGAAGGGCAAAGCATTCCCTGGCCTCGAGGGGGTCCTGATGCTCACTGGTGGGTGCACCTCTCCCTCAGAACCGGGGCTGGGGACAGCTGTGTGATGGCGGAGTCGGTGCAGGGACCAGGGCACCCCGCCCTGTCTTCCGTGCCGTGCTGGGCTGTATGGGCCGGCCACACTGAGGGAATACGTGGCTGACCGCAGTGAGCCACGGCGTCACCTTGCCGTTTGCAGCTGGGCGGCTGTGGGCAGCCTCCAGCGTGCTTTCTCACTGGAGAACAAAAACATTTCTCCATTTCCAACGTCACTTTATTTTTTTATTTTTGGAAACGGGGTCTCACTCTCTTGCCCAAGCTGGAGTGCAGTGGCACACTCACAGCTCACTGCAGCCTTGACCTTGTGGGCTCAAGTGATTCTCCCACCTCAGCCTCTTGAGTAGCTGGGGTTCCAGGTGTACACCACCATGCCCAGCTAATTTTCGTATTTTTTGTAGAAATGGTGTCTTGCTATGTTGCCCAGGCTGGCCAAGCCTATTTTTTTTTAGAGCTGAGGTCTTGCTCTGTTCCCCAGGCTGGAGTTCAGTGGCACGATCGTAAGTCACCTGCAGCCTCAAACTCCTGGGCCGAAACCATCGTCCTGCCTCAGCCTCCCGACTAGCTGGGGCTACAGGCTTGACCCACCACACCTGGCTAACTTAACAAATTTTTATAGAGACAAGGTCTTGCCCAAGATGGTCTCAAACTCCTGACCTCCAGTGCTCCTCCAGCCTCAGCCTCCCATAGCATTAGGGCTACAGGCGCGAGCCACCATTCCCAGCCCATTTCCAGCTCTACTTGAACTAGCTGCATTTTTTTCGGCTTTGCCCAGCAGCCCTGGTGAGTGCAAGTGAATGAGGCAGTGGTCTCGCCTCAGAAGCCCAAGGCACTTCCCAGCCGGTCCAGGGCTCACTCTCCCGCCCGCAGCTCCTGGGCCTGGGTCTGCAACGCTTTCAGTGGTCTCTGATGTCTTTGTCCACCTGCCCACTAGGGTGTCTGGCCAGATGGGGCCTGTGGCCAAGGCCACTGGACAGACAGGGCTCCCACCCCCTCCCAGGGGCCTGAGCTCCGGGGAAGGCAAGCAGCCTCTTCCTCACAGACACCCCTTTTGTTGAAGACCAGGTGATCATAGGGACGGGAGGCACGGACCCCTCAGCCTGCTCATCATTTGCATTGTTCTACATGAATTTGCATGGAGGGTTCAGGAGGCTCTGCCCCCAGGTCCTCCCCAGGTGCAGGCAGAGGGTACAAGATGTTCTAAGAAATAGAAACCTTGGTGGGGGTTGTCAACTGTGTGTTCATTTAAAAGTAAACTTCTTAAAGGTGCCTAGAAACTTTAAGGATACAGTCTCTGGTGAGCGACAGGTGCTCAAAGGGGGAAAAAAAACTCCAGCGTCCTCACCCACCTTGAGCCCCACCCCAAACCTGACCAAGTGAGGCCCCGTAATGGAAGACACAGAGGAGAGGCTGGAAGACAGAGCCCAGCAGCGCTGCACAAACCCACCCTGCACCACAGGAGTGGGAGTTCCTGGGCCCTGCAGCCCTTTCTGGCAGCTCACCTCAGGCAACAAGGACTGTGTGACCGGGACCCAGACCTGAAGTCACCCCGGAGAGCCCCACCATGGCCCGGACGTGAAGCTTTAGGGCAGCACAGAGCCTCATGAAGGGCCCTGCACCTTTCCTGGCTTGCATGACCCCCCACTGCCCCTAGCATGCAGGGCTGGGTACCGCTGCCCTCGCCCATCCCAGGTAATTCGCGTGCGGCCGGAGCCCGTCCCCACTACACCCAGGACTTGCCTCTGGCTCACGTGTTCTGCACAGACCCTGGGGCCCCCACACCTGGCAGACGCCATCAGTCACCCCTACTCCCTCAAGCCATCACCCCAGTCCCCCCCAACCAGACCCCCGCCTGGACCTCCACCCTATGCCTCCCCTGCAGCCACTGACTCGGTGGTGGCCCAGGCCTTCTCCAGCTTTCCCCAGGAAGCTGCCAGCCCTGCTCGCAGATGCCCCCTCGCCCCCCCAGCTGGTTCTCTGCTGAGCCAGGTTCAAGGCTCTGAGTCTGCCCCGGTCTCCCCTTGAAGTTCTC